AGTCTTGGTTGCCAGTCTATGTAGCTATTGGTAGGTGGTATAGCTTACAGGGGGTGGAGTCTAGTAGAAGGAAGTTAGGTCATTGGGGGCATGCCCTTGAAGGGGATATTGGGATGCAGTCCCTACCTTTTTCTTTGCTTCCCAGCCACCAGAAGGTAATTAGTTTTCTCCACCACATGCTTCCACCATGATGTACTCCCTCACCATAGGCCCAAAGCAATGACATCAAGACATGGAGTGAAACTTTTGAAACAGTGAGCCAAAATAATCCTTTGCTCAATTTAAAAAGTTGATTTTTCTCAGGTATTTTGTTACAGTGTCAGAAAGCTAACAGACATCTATGATCTAGTCTCTGCCCACCTCTTCTACTTTTTCTTCCAATACTTGCCACCTTACTGTAGCAGCCTGTACACCAGCTCAACTCAAGGGTTTGTAGTTCTACTAACACACCAGATTGCTTCATGACTCTACTTTTGCTTTTCTTGTCTCTTTGGCTTGGGATGCTCTATTTTAATTCATCCTTTTGCCTTACTTTACTCAGTTATTGGCCTTCAAATCTTATCAGTTACTTCTTCCCAGAATCCTTTACTGCTCCTCAGAGGATTAGGTTTTCTTCCTTTATGCTCTCATACCACTCTGTACTTCTTAGTAACAAACTATTTATTCCAGTATCCTGTGTTTGGGTTTGCATGTCTGCGCACTAAACCACGTGCTCCTTGGAAATCAAGCCCTCCAATGAAATACACAAAGCACGCCACAAGAGCCTTTTTTAAGCCACCATAGAACTGAACTATTAATATTGAACTGGTATGGCTGGAGGCATGGCTTAAGCAGTAGAGCACCTGTCTAGCAAGCATGAGGCCCTGGGTCCAAACATCAACAAGAAAAAAACTGAACTGGCATGGATACTCTGGCACCTTCCAACAACTTTGCATCTAGGATTTGGTTGTCTCCTCCACAGTTCAAGGCTCACCATTCCTATTGACCTGGCCATCTTCCTATCTGCTTCAAATACCACCTTTGTCTGAAATCAATTTAATTTCCTCTTTCAATTTGAAATAATCTCAATACCTTTAACTTTCTCTATGCTTTTAAAAATAGGGCTTGTTGGGAAAGCTTTATTGGGAAAAATTAAACTACACTCACTGATCACCTGAGTGCCAAACATTGAATTAAGTTCTTTAAAGACACTAGGTACTATAATTCCTACAGTAGGAATAACCCTATGAGGTAGTGATTATATCTTCATTCCACAGATGAAGAAACTGAGGCAAGGAAGTAAGAAACAACTAGCTCAAGGTCACATAGGTGGCAAAAATAGGAATTGAATCACTGGAACTGAATTCCTAGGCAATTTCCCTTCCATCACAACCCACTCTCTCCAGGTTAAGCCAGATTCTGAGAAGCCTTGAGATCTGGAGGGTGTAATGTGTGTGTGTCTTAGTGGTAGTGGGACATGGAATGTTCTTAAGCAGAAAGGGATGATGAAAATAGAACTTTGGGGAGATGCTTCTGGAAGGTCATGAGTAACAGAATAGAATGTGATGTGGGGAAGGCTGACTCCTGATAACAAAAAATGTAAAACAGGTATTGTATCTCTCTTGCCACATTCATTTGTGACGCATGGAATAGGAGAGGGCTTGGGAAGGTGAATCATTTTGAGAGTTTAAAAAAGCTGTGGAGACAGAAAAGTTCTGTCTTGAGTTGTTGAGTGGCTGACCCCATGGTCCTGCCTCCTGGGAATGGTTTGGGATTCTCATTCTTCATCAGATTTGGAAGTCTAGGAAAAGGTCAGAGTTGACTGGATAGTTGGGTGATGGCTTCCTTGGGGAAATGGCATTGAATGGGGTGAGATTGTGCCTTCCCAATTGCTCCTTCCATAACTTCCTCATTGGCTTCCTTGCTTGTGTCACTCCCCCTCCTAACACATCCTTAAAGGGATCCTTCATAAAAGAAAGTTAGATTGTGTTTAAAACCTTTTAATGTCTGCCATTCGTGAGATAGTCAGGTTTTTGACAAATAGGTCAAAATTATTTATCTTCCATTAGCTAAAGTTTTAAATTAAGTATTCTGCCTTGAAACTAATCAATTATGATCATATGACTTCTCAAACTACACATTCCTTCTTGGAGATTATGGTTATGATCCTCCCCTCCCCCTTGGTCAAAGTCACAGCTGCTGTTATACTAAAATGCCTCCCTCCTCTATATGCATACTTTTTTCTTCCTGCCTGTCTTTATTCATCATACTGTCTTGGCATGTCTACTTTTTAGTAGGCATCATCTGATAGCAAGTCTTCCCTAAACTTTCTACTTCCCTAGAATGGACTGCCTGTCCAACATCCCATGCTCATTTTTATCACCGTGTTGCACTATATGGTGCTCTCCTCCTCCACTCAATTTACTGGACAGTAAGTGCCATTTCAGTCAACTTAGGCAAGCTGAGGCAGGATACAACATGAGCAAGCAAAACATGGGATCTGTACTCAGAACAAGTTAGGACTAGAGGATTCAGTTTAGGAATCAACAGCATCCAGAAAGTTTAGGGAAAACCAAACTTCTAGAGGGATTCATAGTTGAAATAATTCCATTTGGTAAATTTAGAAACTAAGACCAAGACAATCTTCCTGCTAAAATTTGCAATTTTTGTTTTTGGCGGTACTGGGGTTTGAACTCAGGGCTTAGTTCTTGCTATGAAGGTGGTCTACCACTTGAGCTATATCTCCAGCCCTCCCTGCTATAGTTCAGATGTGGTTTGTTCCTGCCAAAATTCATGCTGAAACTTGGTTGCCAATGTCTTGGTGTTGGGAGGTGGGGTCTTTGGTAGGTGACTGACTCATGAGGGCACCACCCTCATGAATTAATGTCATTCCCAAGAGACTAGTGAGCAGGTTATAAAGCAAGTCTGGCAGTGCCCCTCATACTCTCATACATATTCTTCTTGCATGTGTAGGGTCTCTTCTGCTTTTCCACCATGAGGTGAAGTGGCATGTGTCCTAGCCAGATGGTCACATGATCTTGAGTTTTCCAGACTTCCAGTACCATATAAGTTAAAATAAACTTTTCTTTATAAAATACCTAGTCTGAGAAATTTTGTTGTAACACACAAAATGCGCTAAGATACTCCATCAAATTAGTCATAGAGAAAGAGGTTCTAAGCAAGAAGTCCTTTACATTGTTCCATTGGTTTTGGAAAGAGGGAAAACTGAAGTTATGGGCCTTGTTCTCTTCCTAATTTTTAGACAGGAACCTCTGATCTGATGGTACCTTTTGCCTAAACTGAGAAGTAAGGTGATCAAGACGCCAGTTTATCTTGTGCTAGTGACAATTCAGAAGAGGGTGGGAGTTGCTAACAGAAAGAACCCAGCCCACCATTCTTGAAAACACTCTGAAATCCTTCCTTTCTCCTGTTGCCCTTCTACCGGGAAACAGTTCCCTGTGTATCAGACATGAAATACATCTCCCCAAACTCTGCCTAGTACTGAGACTCATATTGTCAGAACTGCAGGTCATTTAGCCAGTAAGTGCCAGATCCAGGCATCCTCACCCCAGACCCACAGAAGCAGAATCTCCATGATAAATCTTGACTGGGTTCAAACTCTTTTACAGGTAACACACAGACAGTAAGAAGTGTGTGCTGTGTCACACAGAGAGTTAGGGTGGTGGTGGTGAATTTGGACTGAGGTTTACAACTGATGTTGGTGATCCTTGGTTGGCATTCCCCAGATACAATTCTCAATGCTGCACTTGCACATAACAGGTGCTCAATAAATCTGTTGGGTAATTGAGTCGCAAAAGATTTGCTAATACAGTTAAGGGGAAAGGACATGAGTTTGGGAATTGGGAAGATCCTGATGTGGAAGACCACTGGCAAGCTTCAGTTTCCTTACTGAAAAATAACAATAATTACCTTGTGGGGTTGTCAGTGAAGAATAAATGAGATATACTAGTTAAAAGCTCTAACTGAACGCCTAACACCCCAAAGGCACTTAATATAAATGGTCGTGGTCACTAAGAGGTGGCAGAACAGAGTGGTAAGAACACAGATTCTAGAACCAGGCTGGTCCAGAACTTACATTTGTGATGCTGAAAGTCACTTTTCCTATTTCCTCATTGGTAGGATGAGGTTGTTGGTGAGGGTAAAGTAAGTCAATATACATAAAACTCTAAGAGTAGTGCCTGGCACAAGGAAGCAAGTGTGATATGTTAGCTTTCATGTTTCCTCCTTTGCATTAGCCTTACCACAAGTGGCTAGAGAAATAAAAAAGAAAAAGTCCCTCAGTCACAAAAAAGAGGACACAGGTGTAGCCAGTAAAAACAGCCCATAGAAGCTATGGAAAGCCTTTCCATTGAACCTGTCAGGCCTCTTTGAACTGTTGTACCCTTTCTTTTCTGATTATGTGCTTCAGGTGTATGAACTGTGCCTCGTCCCCCCAAGGGCAGGTGTTCTGCCCCTTTCCCACCTCAGGTGTAAGGCTGGGCACCAGGGAAATGTCCACTCCATGGACAGTTTGCTGAGGGAATGACAAAGAGAAGGTGTCACTTCCAGGAACCCATGACCCCCCCCACAAAAAGAATGCCAAGCAAAGCAATTGCCAAGATAAATCACTTTTATCTCTATAGGAAAGGGAGGATCTAAAAAAAATATAAATTACATTAGTAACACAACATAAGAAAAACAAGGGAAAAAACAACAGAGAAATCCAGATGATGCTACTCTAACCTATTTATAAAAAGGCCCTGCATCAGAAATTCATAATCCTACCCACTTCTAAAAATATATTTAGACATGTACAGAAGCGGTGGGTTTGTTTTTAAATTGTTTGCTTTTTTGTAAAAATATATTAAAGGTGAATAGAAATCCTCTCTCCTTGCCCCCGCATCCCACCCCCAGCTCTTGCTGAGGATTAGAGATCAGAGGTAACTATCTCACCATGTTCTATACCTTGGTTACTACCACTCCCAACCCCTCCCCAACTCACTTCACTTTAGAACCTGAAACATTAAAAGAACAAAAACAACAACAACAAAACACACTAGCCTCTTTGGAAAAGCATAACTCTGAGGGTAAACTTGCTTTTCAATGGAAACAACACAAAACAGACAGGAGGCTCTGGGAACCCAACTAAACTAAATGAACCCAGTCAAATGGAGGCTGGCTCCACAGAAACTTCTAATGAAGAAACAGGGGAAAGAGTCCCAGAATCAGGGGGATTTGCTAGCAATTAGCTGCCTTTGAAAGATCAAGAAGGGGTGTTAATGGGCAAAAGGGCTGGGGACAGCAGTCAGTGTCTAGTCAGGCAGTTACCTACACAAGGACAGAGGCTTCTCCTTGAAATCCCCAAGATAAGCAAAGCTGGGTAGAAAGGAGGGAAAGGGAGTAGGAAACTCATGTGCTGGGGGGAGGTAGCCAGGCTTTTTGCCTTTGGTGTGACTAGATGGAGGACTGCTTGGCCCCTGCGGTCCCCAAGGTAGAAAAAGCAAATGGGCTAAGGGGCTCCTGATTCCAAGGACAGTAGAGGTGGGTATACTGAAAAAAGAAAGACAAAATACAGACACAAAGAAGACAAAGGAAGCCTCACAAATTCCCTGTGGCCTGCATGGTAGCTGTTAAATTCCCCAGAAGCATCAGGCAAGCTGGGGTGAGGTTGGAGTGCAAGATAGAGGACAAAGATATACTCCACTTGAGCAGTGCTAAAATGGGAGTGCGGGAGGAGGCATTCTCCATCAAGTCCAGATTGCCAGTGAGGCAAGACAAGAGGGAAGTGGGGGCACTGTCTGGACAATGGAAACAATCACAAAAGAAAAGAGCAGAGAACAGAGGGTCAGATGGTCTGCTCCTTCACAGATGTGTGCCTCTTCTCCTAGACTTGGACTTGAGTGGCCTATCTGCACTCTGTTTGAACACTGACCAGTGGTCTGGAAGTACAAAGGCCTGGGGGTGAAGAAGCCAGTCCTGAGGTCTTCTTCAGACTAAGACCTCAGGTGGGGAAAGAAGCATGGAGATTCCCGATGAAAGACCCAGGGGTAGGCTATCCTGCCACACCCTCTCTGGAAGGTCAAGTCTGTGCTGTGTGGTATAGGTAGAGGGAGTGGGCTGTAGGGCCATGATTATATGCTTCAGTGGCAGGTGCTTTCAGGATTCTGGGAGATGGTATTTCACCTGCTGGAGCCCAAAACAGCCATACAGATAATGTTCTGCAGGACCTCAAAATACAGGCAAATCCCTAGAGATCATCATGGGGCAAGGGGTTTCATATGTAGTAAGTCAAAAGTAGCTTCTTCCAGTGGGCTACAAAGTCATAGTCAAAGGCTTGGGCATCTGTCCTCTCCCCATCTTGAAAAGTAATAGGAATCTCTTTTCTTCCCATGGGTAAGTGAAGTCAGCCTTTCTAGGCCACCTCTGGAGATGGCCCACAGTGGGGTGGGAAAGGGATAATGGGACCTCCTCTTCTTTTCCATGAAGTAATTGGCAAGAGGGGACAGAGACCACAGCCTTCTCCCAGGAACAAGCCTGAAGGTGGGGTACATCCACTGGAGTTGGTGGACAAAGGGTGGGAATAGGAGGTGGGCAGGCTTCTAGAGTCAGGGCTGGAGTTGCAGACAATGTTGAGCACTGGGTCTCTCACCTCATGACCAAATATCAAGGGGCCCAGGCTCTCTTCATGCCTCTCCTCACTCTGCCTTCCAGATCTGGGGGATTGGGAACAAGAGTAAAGGACAACAAATGAAAGGGAAAGAGGTTGGAAGAGCAGAAAAGAGGGCTCTGGTCAGGTGGAAACCTCTCCCATTTTTACCTGCTACTCCAGGGAATGGAAAAGAAAGTAGGATGTTCATAGGGGAAATGGGAAAGGGAGTAGGGAGAAGCAAGTGGAGTGGTCTGTGGGAGAGTCCATGCCTTTGGTCAGTCCCAAGAAAGCAGGACAGTGCGCCTCAGCACCTTGTCTGGGGCAGGCAGGATCCAGGAGTGCCCCGACAGTTGACAACGGAGAAGGCAATGGGGGTGAAGGGTGGGACACAAGGGTGCTTGGCTCACAGAAGTAGTTTGCCATTTCTGTGGATTTTCAGGATACGGCCGAGTCTCTGCTTTGCCGTGGCCAGGCCCTTTTTGGGACGCTTTCCTGTAAAGGAAGGGGAAAGTAAGTAAAGAGTATGACAAAGGCTTTACTGGCAACTCAAGCACCAACTGTCCTCAGGCCATTTCTCCTCTGTTTCTCTCTCCACAAAGTTTCTTCATCCTTAGGCCATACTGGGCAAGATACCTTCCTTAACTACCTCTACCCAGTACCACATGCCTTGGGTCTTCGTTCTCTGACTTGCTGCAGCAGCTGTAGACTTGCTGGTTATAGTTTGTCTAGTTTGTTTTCCCCACTAATTTATTTCTTTGGTCCCAATCATTTTCCTTCCCAAAATTCTGGAGATGAATGTGCTCTACATTCTCTTATCCTGACCACGAGGGTTGGACAACTGCTTGGTTAGTGTTTACAGCCCAGTGTCCCTGATGTTGCCATTCCTACAGCCTTGTTTCATTATAAACCTCCATCCTCATCAATCCTCAATATCATACCAACCTCAATGTCCTTAGGCTGCATATTCTAGGACTGGACTTTGAGGGTCAATGTAGGGCAAAGGAGCACTTGAGTTCTCTAACTCTTTCTTGCCTCTTTTTCTCTCCCCATATCAAATCACCTCCCATATCCTATTTGACTGTCTCCATATTCAGTTTATCCCTTTGCTCTCCATTAACTCAGCCAGAGCTCCCATCTTTCTTCATTCTTCCTGAATATATATATATGTGCTTCCTTCCTACATTTCCCATTCTTGTCTACCCTCCACTCTGGGCACGAGACAGATCTTTTTAAACCTAAACCTGATCTTGTCTTCTCCACTTAAAATCAGTCAATACCTCTCCTTGGCCCACAAGTTCAAGTATAAGCACCTTAATTTGGCCTTCAGTGTCCCTCTTCAGTGTTCTCATGTACTAGAGCAGTCAGGGTTTACAGCAGATGGCTCTAAGATCCCTCATTTCTATCATCATATACCCATATACCTTGTCCTGCCTGATTGCTCTGGGAGCCAACTGAAGGGCGCCGCTGGGTCAAGAAGACGCCGGGGGCCATAGGTGTGGTGCTGCGATTTGCCTGGGCCATGCCAAAGGCATTAGGACGAGCAGTGTACTCATGGTCAGCAAGACTTCCTGATACAGCCTCTTGTTTAGGCTCAGGAGGAGGCAGGGGTGAGGAGGAGGCAAGAGGCTGGGGTGTTGCAGCCAGTGTTGGGGCTGGTATTGTCACACTGAGATTGGCGTCTTGAGGGCGAGGTTGTTCTACCTCCTTCAGCAAAGGCTTCTTCTTGATGTATTTTTTCTTTTGGGCCTTCTGAAGCTCCTGAAACACAAGCCAAGTGGGAGGGGAAATTCAGGAATGGAGAAAAGAAAAGAGAATTTCCCAGAAAATGAATCAGACAATTGTTAATATAGTCCTGCAACCTGCCTCTCCCCACTCCCACCAAGTCTAGGCTGTACATACAAACAACACAAAAATCTTTCCAGTACCTGAGGTAATCTCCTTGGTATCATCCATCCTTAAGTCATCACTGCCACTTAACAGAGAACTTAACAAGAGAACTATAAATGGGTTTGGAGATTTGGGTTTTGGTCCTAGCACTGCCACTAATTAAGGTGGACCATGGACACTTCTAAAAATAAATTTAGACCAGAAGCTGAGGCACTTGACGAACTTTATACACTTTATCTTATTTAATTCTCATAATAGTCCTAAGAAGAAAAACCCTCATCTTATAGATAAGAAAACTGAGGTACAGGGATATTAAGCAACTTGAGCTCAAAGTCTCACGAGTGAAAAGTAGTCTGATCCAGTACTTAACCAGATCTACTTAAAGATACATCCTGCAAACTTCTCAAAATGAAACATCTGAGAGTAGATTGTTAGCTTTGGAATGAGATGAACCTGAGTTCAAATCCAGGCATGTGCTCCCTAAATTGGATGCCTGGTCAAAGTTTCTAATCTTTCTGAATCTCAGCTGTCTCATCTGTAAAATGGGTAAAACAATATCTATTCAGGGTTGTTGGAAAGATTAAATAAAATAATGATGTAAAAATACATAGTACATGGCAGCAACTCAACAAGTGGTAAATTATTATTCTATCTTTATTTCTTACAATTGCTTTTATTCCTCTTGCTGGTCTTTTTCTTCTAACAGAGGACTTGACAATCTTCCAACTCACTGGGTCTAAAAACCTCAATTTTGGATGGGACAGATCACTAAGGAGTTGTGTCACTTCTCCCAACATCTTGAATTTCATCCATCCATTGCTCTATGGCTCTACTATCCACTGCATAGTGGGTGCCTGTATAATGGGCATCTGGGGTCCTAAGAACTTGGAAAAATGGTACTGAGAGCACATGAATGACTTCACCTTCCAAAATGCTACACAGCCACAAGGAAACTATGTCAAAAAAAAGTTAAGTCACTTTCCCAAGGCTACAGGCCCAATAAGTGGCCAAGCTGGGATTCAAGCCCAAGCCATGTGGTTTCAGACTCTGTTCTTTCAGCCACACCATACCAGGAATCTATTCTCTCATCCATATCAAGAATAACATTTCTGTTCCCTTTTCTTGTTTGAACCCAGAAATTATCTCTTCATATCTAGATCACTTATCCTGCATTTTCCTATCTTTGCTGCCCATCTCTTTTGCATGTACATGACACATAGACTATCTTATGACAGGACTACTTTCACCTTGCCAATTTCCTTGTTCAAAAAGCTGTTAGCATGTGCCCACCCAAGTTCAAACTTTCTGGCTTGGCATTCATGGTCTTTCTACTGTTTAGCCAACCCATAATGATAATGATGCAAAGCTAACATGCCTATTGTATCCAGTGCCATTCTAAGAGCTTGTGTGTGTGTGTGTGTGTGTGTGTGTGTGTGTGTGTGCATGTGTGCGCACACACACAGACACACAGTTTCATTTAATACTAAAACAAAGTTTGTGAGGAAATTAAGGCAAAGAGAAATTAAATAACTTATCTGTTAGGATTCAAAGTCAGGTAGGTAGGCTGGCTTCAAAATCCAATCTTTTAACTATTACTTGTTTTACTCCATCACCCAACATGAAGCCTCCAATTCAGAAAGTTCTCCTCATTCGTATTCATTTGCTCACTCAAACACTGACTAAACACATGTGCTTACCAGAGTAGGCATACCAAGTTAAATATATTCCCACTCTTAAAGCATTTAGAGTTTAATAAAGGACATGACAAAACATAATTATGATCATAGAGAATGATATGGAACATAGAAGGCCAGTGAAATAAAGTGGTGGTAGGTGGTATGAAGAGTGTTAGGTAAGGCATCAGAATGGCATGATTCCCAACTAGCAGAAGGAAAGGCTTGTGCAAAGCCACAAGGGCGTGAGACAATCTGATGAATGGAGTGAACAATGAGTACTATAGAGCAGTATGGCAGGCATAAAGGATGTGCACTGAGGGTTAACTGGCAGGAGGTCATTGATTAGAGATCAAATAAAGAGGGCCTTGTGTGCAGTACCAAGGAATGCCCTTTTCCTGGAATGCCTCCCTGTCCCCTATCAAATTTAGCCTGCAAAAGCCTTCCCCAATTTCAAAATCTTTTCTTTGAGGTAATCTCTGATCAACCCAAATAGAAGTCACTCCTTAGAAGGCACTAAGAATAGTTTTCATACATTTAATTAACTTATCTGTTTATTTAAAGCAGTAGCATCCCTTTTTTTCAAGTTACATCTTACATGGCACTGGGATATACATAACAGAAATTCTAAGTCAAAGAAGGACCACCTGACCTACTTTGACCTCTGCTGGCTCCCAACAATAGCCTCCAAGACATTTCTAAGAAATTCTACAGCTCCATAGAATACAGTATGAAGAACATAATTCTATCAAATTTCATTTAAATAGGATGTAATTACTAAAATATATAAACATTTAACTATTTCATTTGATTTAAATATCAAGTTGCATGAAAATTTGAAGTTAGAGGATATGAGTTTGAATCTTGTCTCCTCCATTTACTGGCTGTCTTATTCTGGACTAGTCACTTAAAGTGAGCCTCATTTTCTTCACCTGTAAAATGACGAAAATATCACCTATTGAATAAGGCTATTGGGCATATTAACATTAGACATTATACATGGAAGCTCTTAACATAAAGCAAATGTTCAATAATGCTCTGTGCTGTAGGATATAGCATGAAGAGCTAAGGGGAATACTGATAAAGAACTCCAAATGCTCCTAGGATTTCTGAGCACATTACATATGTTAAAGAACTTTATAAACTGTAATGGAAAGAAGTAAAATTGATTCTAGTGAAGGTGACTCTTTAGGACAAAAAAACCCCAGAGTGGGTAACATCTTGAGAAATCAGGAGATGAAGATCAAGGTAACATTATTTGCTAAACAGGACAAGAGAAACTTTATAATAGATCAAATTCCAATGCTGGTAGATGGCTGACAACTTAAGTGTACTCAGCTGAATCACTTCCTCAGGACTCTGAGGGCAAAGGACAGATCTTTCTATCTGGAGGGTTTTTTATGCCCTCAGAAAGGCAAGTGATAGTAAGGGCTTTTCTTTGGCCCCATATTTTCTTTCATCCTAATTCATGTCAACTATATAACCTATGAAATATTTTGGCATAGAGCTGGAATATGACAGATGGGGGCGGCTAGGACACTACAAAATAAAGATCAATGGTTACCAGAGATAATAGTGAGATCCTATCAGCCTGAAGGTCTGAGCTTTGAGGCTCTAAGTTAAACTGGGATAAGTAGCAGGGCCAATGCAGTAGCAGCGTGTCAGCACTTACCTGCTGGGCCAGCTTTGCAGCTGCTGCAGCCAAACCTGTCTCAATGGAGGCAACTCGGGTCCCCTCACGCACAGGACGGTCCTGCTTAGGTAGAGTTGGTGTCACACGGGCTGCAAGGGAAGGGAAACAGGATGAGGTGTCATTCCTTAAGACATTCAACTGCATGCCAACTATATTTTCTACCTCCAACTACCCCGAAGGTGGTCTTTTCTGGGGATTGAACCCAGGGCCTCATGCTTACTAGGCAAGCACTCTACCACTTGAGTCACATCCCCAGTTACCCCAAAGGTTGTCTTCATTGGTCTTCTACTTCTAGGTTTTCACAAAGTCGGATTCTGTTTCCCATGAGGTAAGAAGTGAATTTACATATGCTCAAAGCACACACTGATTCAAGGGTAAAACCTAGCTTTCCTGAACCAGCATTTAAAGTTGTTAATGATTTTTGTTCCTAGACTACCTACTTCCCCCAACCCTTATTTTCACACCTACTGTTATGGTTTGAATGTCCCCTTCAAACTCATGTGGAAATTTAATTGCCACTTTAACAACCTTTAAGATGTAAATTATGTCATGATGGCCCCATCCTGAGCAGATAAAAGTTGTTATTGTGGGAGTAGGTTAGTTACAAAAGGGTATTTCAGAGCTTTCTTCCCTCTCTCTTCTCATCATGTGATGCCTTCTGCTTATGGGACGATGTAGCAAGGCCCTCATCAGGTGCATCATCATGTTCTTGGACTTCCCAGCCTCCAGAACCATAAGTCAAATACTATAAGCCATGTAAACTTCTATTGTTTAAAAAATCTACCCAGTCTGTGACATTCTGTTATAGCAGCATAAAATGTTCCCAGCTTCTCCAGACAGACAGCTTATTACACTTCCAGAGTATATACAGCTGTACAGCCAATCCTCTATCTCTATGTCTTCATCCTTACCATTCATACTGCCTAGAAGTATACTCTTCCCCTTTGCCTGCCTATTCAAAACCTGACCATCCTTCAAAAGTATGTTGAAAGCAATGTCCTATACAAAACCTCTAGGATATCTCAGGTCCCACTGATCTTTTCTCCCTCAGAACTTACAATCTGTACAAGTTACTTGATATATGGTACATACAATCTTGTCTTATTTATGGTGATAGGTGTTATTTTGTCCAACCACCAGTCTATGAGTTTCTAAAGGAGACCATGTATAAATTGTTTTATAGTACCTCAACAACATTGAATCAAAATAGTTACTTATCTCACCTTTTCAATAGGAGGTATATTTCAGGAAAATTAAATAGCCTGAGTGATGAGAGACAGTTCTTTTTTACAGAAGAATGCCACTTAATAAAGGTAGAAGGAATGACAGAACTAGAAAATCACAAGTTTTCAAGTCCTAATGAAACTGATTGTAGAGAGTTGGATATTCACATAGTACCAAAGTGTTAGTTCATAGACTACATGTTAATCTCAAAAAAACCTAACTATACAATAGTGAAATCAGGAGATCACCATCTTAACTTAATATACTCAAGTAAGTACAGTACTGCTAATAGTGAGACATCATGACATCATGAGCCTCTTGATGGGGTGCAATAGGAAATTCACAGCATTAGCCGAGTTGTTAAAGATCTAAAATCAATTAAATCATACATACTCCTTCCAGAGTTTAGAGGAACAAGTGACATGATACCATGAAAAAAAAGGAAATACTCTGCAAGATAACTGACCTGATCTCTTATAAAAAATAACATCATATGGAAGCAAACAGACAAATCTAGAAGGTGAGACAGGCTATAGGGGAATTATACCAGTTTCTACAAAAAACTTGCATGAAACAAAAAGGGTGACTATTCTAGTTTTAAGACTGTTAAAAGGCATGACAGTCAAATGGCAGTCAAATGGGAGTTCATTGTACTATTCTATTTTTAAAGTAAAAAGCTAATGTCACAGAAAACAAAAGGGTGGTGGTGGTGCTGACCTAGATTTTAAAACTTATTGGCTGGTTAGTTATCATTATTATAAAGTAAAATTTTTAAATAAGCCATATGCAGATGCTAAAACAGTTAACTTAGGAAGCTGAAGTTCTTTCTTTAAAGGTGACATTTTATTTGCTTAAGTCTTGATCCAAAGCAAATCTAGGAAAAATTTTAATGCATAATTTTGGGTCATGGATACTTGGGCATCCGACACTGTTCTCTATAGTTTTGTACATGTGGTGGTTTAAAAATACAGCTCCGAATCCTTCAAAACCTTTTCTACTGATAGGAGTCTATGTGCCCCCATTGAATCAGGACTCATTTGTAGACTATAGTAGAAGTGACACCATGTGACTTCTAAGGCTATGTCAGAAGAGACAATTTCAATTTCTTAATGTCTTGCTAGAACACTCATGCTTGGAGATGTGAGCTTAAATCACATTTAAGAAGTGTGATTATCTCTTTTTTTTGGTGGTACTGGGGCTTGAATTCAGGGCCTCACACTTGCTAGGCACGTGCTCTACCACTTGAGCCACTCTGTCAGCCCAAAAAGTGTGATTATCTTGAGGTCACCTGGCAATGAGAAAGCTAGTCACATGGAGAGAAAACATGATAATACTTTTACTCTTTGAGTCCTCCCAGGCTAGGTACCAGATATGTAAATGACTTCAGATTATTCAAATTCCTGGCCACCAGATCACCTCCAGCCTTTAAAGTTTTTCCAGCTGAGGCTTCAAACATCTGGAGTAGAGACAATCTGGCCCCACTATACCCTTTCCAAATTTCTGGCCCAAAGAATAAATGAACATGAAAATGATGGCTGTTTTAAATTGTAAAAAAAAAAAATCCTTCTTGACTGGACCTGGGTTTTGGAAAGAAAAGAGCAAGCTATAAAAGACATTTTTCGGGGAGGAAAGTTGGGAAAATTTGATTATAGACTGGGTATTAGAAGATCTAGGGAATTATTAACTTTGCTAAGTATGAAAAATGGTATGGTCACATAGGGAGGTGCTCTTATTAACACTGAAGTATTAATGGGTAAAATATGCTATGATGGTTGTTATCTTACTGTGAAGTGGCTTAGGAAAACCTATAAATACCCAGATATAGATGGATGGATGAAGTAACTATGGCAAAATGTTACAATTGAAGAATCCAGGTATTGGTAATATGGATGTTCATATACTATCCTTCTACTTTTATGTATGTTTGGGGTGAACTTGATCAAAGTACATTATATGCATGTATGGAAGTACCACAATGAAATACCTTTGTACAGTTAATATGTGTTAATAAAAATCAGAATAAAAATTATCACAATAAAACTTTAAATAACGAATGAGACTTAAAGAGATTATAATAGCCAAATGTAGCCCTTGAATAGATTCTGGTTTAAAAAGTCAATTATAACAGCTATTTTTAGTAAAATTGGGGGAAATTTGAATAAGAACTTGACATTAGACAATACTAAGAAAATGAATGTTACTTTGCCTAGGTGTCATATGGTGGTACTGTGGTTACAGAACAAAGTATCATTTTTAGAGATGTATGCTTAAGTATTGAGAATGAGAAGTCATGATAGGTGACATCAGTGAAAAAGGCAAAAATGAGGATCTGTAAAAATTTATTTCTCAATAAAAACAATAAGAACACCAGCAAAAAATTCACAGTAAGTTTTTTCAGAACACTGTAAATTAACCAAAGGCTAGTGTGCAGAAATATGGAGACCATTTATTAAAGAAAAACAGCTAAATTTTAGAACAAAGAGCTTCACGGCATTTTAACTTGGCCTAGACACATCTTCCTTCTGCCAGCTCAATGATACTCTTGAGTGTAGTGAGTAGAAAGGAGCTGAAGCTTTGTTTCAAAGCCTAGTGCTAAAAGCCTGTCCCCTGAGGTGAGCTTAAAAAAAGTTTAAAGGCAAGTGCGCTTAATGTCACAGTTGCTTAAGGTGATGCATAACTGTTGTGGCAATGAGATGTTCATAGGAAATCTGAAAAATTCCTACATATTTCTTGGACTCTAGAAGGCCAAATGTGTGTGTAGAGACTGTGTGCAAGATTCACCTCTGACTGACTTTTAGCCTCTGTATGAGCAGGAAGTGAAAGCTAAGGCACAGTTGTCTGGCTGAGTGTTGAAGGTATGCCCCAATATGCATCTAAGCTTCTCAGAAGTACTGGGGGAATTCACTGGTTCCAGGTATTTAAGGAAATCTTTGTCAAATCATTAGATGACCAATAAGCTAAGCGAGTGGAGATGTTAGTGCCCACACAGAAAAAGAATACAGACTTTACAGAATTAGTTTGGGAGTTACTAAACACCTAACAATGACAAAAAGCAACAACGATGAAGCCTGGGGAGCAGAGTGAGAAGAATCTAATCTCCAGAGTTCCCATGGTATTTTAAATGTCCAGTTTCCAACAAAAAATTATGTGATAAATAAGTAAAATTAAGTAAATATATGCATAAGAAAAAAGTAATCAACAAAAACTGTTCCTGACTTCCTAGACGAAGTTGGACTTACTAGATAAGAACTTTAAATCACCTATTTTAAGTGCTTTCAAAGGCTAAAGGAGACCATGTCTAAAGAACTACAGAAAAGTATGAGAATGATTTCTCAACAAATAGAGAGTTAAAATAAAGACAAATTATGAAAAGAGGAACCATACAGCTATTGTGAAGTTAAAATGAAAAATAACTGAAATACAAACTTTACTAAAGGGTTTCAGTAGCACATCTGAGCAAGTAGAAGGATGAATGAACTTGAAGACAGGTCAACTGAGATTATACATTCTGAAGAGAAGAAATTTTTTTAAAAGAGTGAAGAAGAATGAACAGAGCTAGAGGGAAAGTATCAGAGGGACATTATCAACATATACATATAGGATTCCCAGAACTTCAGAGAGAATGGAGAAGAAAGACTACTTGAAGAAATGGGGGTAAAGCTGAGGTATACCTAGCAGTATCACTCAGTGGTGGAGTGCTTGTCTAGCATGTGTGAGACCCTAGGTTCTATCCCTAACACTAAAAAAAAAAATAAACAAATAATGGCTGAAGACTTTCCAAATTTAATGAAAAACATTAATCTATATGTTCAGTGCTCAATAAATTCCAAGTTGAACAAACTCAAAAGACCAAACATCATAACCA